TAATCACCTCCTTTGGGAGTATGACCATACATTAGAACATGAGACATCTCCAACAATATGAGACTGATATTTCTCAAACCCAATTAAATGTGCCACTTTGGCGGTCACTACCCAATCGAATCCTTGAAACTCTCTCATATCAACGATATTAGCTTTATGTCTCACATATACTATATGCAAGTAATTCTAGACTTGAAGACATGGGCAATGTCACCAAAATTACATACCACACTAATTACATCGCTCTATTCATTGATATATATGTTGAACCTTATACATACTATCAATGAATCATGCTCTACACATTCTTTACGTGGTCATATACATGTAAGCTTTAATCTGTATCTCCGAAACCATAGAGAAATACAGGAAAAATACATAAATATACCTAAAAATACATGTATATAGGGTTCTTTATGTATTTTCACATCCTTAAAAGAATAAAACATGTAAAATAAATATACTACAGTGTAGAAAATCTCAATACGAGCATGTCGGTACCTTGCAGGCTCCAACGGAGCCTGAACGCACCTTCACGCGCCTCTTGAATGCGCGGCGCGTGTGCTTCACACGTCGATGCCTAATCCAGTCTAAAAGGTCAGTCCGATCACCGACCAATTCGACCTCTGACCGGTTCGAATGGTTGACCAGTTTGGTCAACGGTCAATGGTCAACTTTCGGGTCGGGTTAACTATCGGGGTGGATCTTAGGGTCGGGTCAACTATCGGGTTGGATCCTGGATCTAGTCAGGTCACCCGGTCAACGGGTCAAACCCAGGTCGGGTTAGCTGGATCGACCTGACTCGCGAAAACCCCAGCACGTGGCCGCGCATGGGCTGCCGTGCGCCCTCTCCTCAGCGGCGCGTGGCCGCGCGTGCAGGCGTTTACGGCATCCCTCAGAGATGTGTTACCACTCAAAACGTTCGTCTTGAGCCGATATATCCGTTTATGTGGTCCAAATCAATTTTCATCGGACAAAAATTCCGAAAACCACACATGACCAGTACGTTCTATCCCTCGACTATGGCGGCTTTGATACCACGTGTAGGCCGTCGTCCAGTCCAACCAGTTCGCCGATCGAACCGCTTGTACGATCTGACCGCCCTAGGAACACCATATCAAGGAAATAGAAGCACAATAAGGATAGAAGAGATTTATACACCTGTTTTGTTGTCCATCGCCTCTTGATGCGGAATGACGACAAACGGTGCCGGAGCTCTTCTCCGCTATTACCCTCTGGATCCCTGGTGCAATGAGATCGCCCCCCACAAGAGATTTCTCTCTCAATTTTCGTATGTGAGGTGGTTATGAGAGGTACGTGTTAGAGAAGAGACTTCCAGCGCTATTTATAGAGTTTTTAACCGGGCCCTCTTATTACAGGCCGGGCTCAACTCGACCTACACATAGCCAAGCCCATATCTGACTGATTAAGAATTCTTATATCTACCCTTATTAGATCAAGCCCGTAAACGGTTAATTACAATCTCAATTAATGTAGCCCATATTAAAAAAAAACTCTTACACCAAATGCTATACGTGAGATTTAACATTTATCATTGACAGATCCTCTCGGTGCTTGACTACTCTCGACTAGGTAACACTCACATATGTGACCTATACAATGTCCATAGCTGGAAACGCCAGCTATAAATGGCCTAGACTAATGGATCTTAGAATTTTCCAACAGTGTTCTTCGACGCCTCCAATTCTGGGCTCAAAGTCACGCGCAAACAGTGTTCATCGTGATTTTTCAAATTTCTCTTTGTTGTTGATCAGTTTTAGTGCAAAAGGTTAGGGACTGAATTTGCATTTCATCGAATTTCATGCTTTGGTTTCGTATTCTGGTTGCTCGCCATCTGAAGTTCTAAACTAGTGTCCGATTTGCTTTGATGCGATTAATTTGCACATTAGTCGCGATGGAATGAAGCTACTAGGTTGAGGTTGGATGATGTTTTGAACTGTATTAACTCTGTCCGTCTGTGTGATGCTTTAAGATAATAGGTTGCCCATGTCTGAAGAGTAGTTGTGAGGCCTCTTGTTTGTTGTACGACTTGGCTTTTACTCTTATTCATCAGGAAAGAATATGCAGGACAATGAAAAAGAGAGAAATGTGAATGAGGCTAAAGCTAAAATTGGAAACAAACAGCGTTAAAGCACAAAAACAAGAAGTCTCTCTCTCTCTCTCTCTCTCTCTCTCTCTCTCTCTCTCTCTACTTCAAACTGGTAGATCATTAGGGATGCTAGACAGTGACGGGTGCGATGACAATGCTTGAATGAGAAGAAAGGTTAAAGATAAAGAAGAAAGGCCAAAGTGTGATAAAGAATAGAATGTACATCACTAACAACAGCCAAAGCCCTCTGGTTTCCATGCCTTTAATTTACATTCCACGAGTTTCTCGCCGAGTCCTCCTGCTCCATACTGACCTCGGCTCGAGTCCTGCCGCTTCTAACTCCTTTGTAACTATGCTTGCTTGACACTTAGTTGCGTGAAGCAAGATGTTCATTCTTATCGGATGGTAAATAAATTTCAAGGTATTATAGACTCTCTGCCCTCAATAGTCACCTTTTCTGTTATTATATTCTCTGGTTTGCATATCTATTCAATCACTGTTGCCTCACTGTAATACTCATGCTGAATAAAAGATTCCCTTCCAGGATCCGTTGAGAGAGTGAGGATCAAATGGGAAATACGAAAATTCTTGCAGAAGCCAACAATTTATGGATGAAACTCAATCTCCGAGGGGCAATCCTTACGAGCCTATCTCTACAAGTCTTTCTCATCTTATTTGCACCCAATTGACAGAAGTGGTCAAACTGGTGGTTCGCGACTCTCATGTGGTCGGCTTACTTGGTTGCCGACTCAGTCGCTGTCTATGCCTTAAGACTCATTGCCAAAGCCCAAATCATTGGTGGTACTTCAGACTCCGAGGTCGATGCATATGGTGACCTTTTGGCTTTTTGGGCTCCATTTCTTCTGCTACACCTCGGAGGACCAGACACCATAACAGCTTTCGCGCTCGAGGATAATGAGCTGTGGGGTAGGCACTTGCTTAATCGCTTATTCCAGCTAGGCACTGCATGCTATGTGTTTTACCAATCCCTCCCCAGTAACAAGCTAATTGTCCCAACCATCCTCATGTTTATTGGAGGAACCATAAAATATATAGCGCGAACACGTGCTCTGTATCTTGTAAGCTCCAGTAAATTCCGTGATTCCTTGCTCCCACCTGCTGATCCTGGGGAAGACTATCCCAAGTTCTTGGAAAACTACTTTGCTTCGTTGAAGTATGCGACGGATTTTATCAGGCATGTATTAGAACTGTCGTTGCCGGAGGACCAACGTCTTTTCCCTCATGTAAGAGCAGAAAATAAAAAAAATTTGGACGACAGAACAGTGATAGAAACGGCGTTTTTTTACTTCACAACCTTCAAAGGCCTCCTTGTGGATCTCATCTTCAGCTTCCAAGAACTTAACAGAAGCAGGGACTTTTTCTTCAGCCGAACCGTGAAGGATGCCTTTCGGGTCATTGAGGCTGAGCTCAACTTATTTTATGATGTTCTTTATACCAAGGCTGCCGTGGTTCACTGTCCAAAAGGGTACCTTTTCCGAGCTATCTCAATTGGCTCCATTGTTACTGCTTTTGCATGTTTCCATGTCCTGAACAAGCATGGTTTTCACGAATATGATGTACAGATTACATACGCCTTGCTCCTTGGAGCTGTTGGCCTGGAATTTATAGCTCTTGGTATGCTCATTTGCTCTGACTGGACAATTGCAAGAATAGGGACATCTGAGGAACATAGTAGAAGTTTGTTTCAAGGAAGCATCTTCATCGAGTTCCTCCTCAAATTCAAATTTGAAAGTTCACCATTTGCATTGGATATACTACATGCTAGACGGTCGAAATCCATCTGCCAATACAATTTGATAGATTCTAGCTGAGAAAGCGGCCAAAAGGGATTGATTTACTCCTTTGTTACATCCCTCTGGGAGAATTGTTTGATGACTTGACGTCTGGACGAGTAAAATACAGTGAAAAATTAGGTGAACTGATTTTTGAAGAGCTAACACGGAAGGCATCAATTGCAAATGACTATCAAAGCATAAAAGAGATGTGTGCTGCTCGAGGTAAATGGGCTCTGGAGAATACTAAAACAAGGCGAGATTGCAAAGACTTGCTTCCATCCATCCGTGATGTTGATTATGGTGAGAGCCTTTTACTGTGGCACCTTGCCACCGAACTCTGTCACAACACTGACACAGATTAAAGTACAAACCACCACCGGGAAAGCAGTAAGGTCTTGTTAGATTACATGCTTTATCTTATGATCAAACAACCTGGAATGATGTCTGCGGTGGCTGGGATTGTCCAAATAAGGTTCCGAGACACTTGTGCTGACGCGGACAGGTTCTTTAATAAATTTCATGAGACCAAAACGGAAATAACGAACAGAGATGCCTGCCAAAATCTCCTTGATGTTCGTACAGATACAAACTTTAAGCCTGCTGATGTGAAAGGAGACAAAAGCAAGTCAGTGCTTTTCGATGCGTGTATTCTCGCAAAAGAGTTGAGGAAATTTGGGGGGATCAAATGGGTGATCGTGAGTGAAGTGTGGGTGGAATTGTTGGCGTATGCTGCGATTCATTGCCGACCATACGTGCATGCTCAACAACTTAGTAAAGGAGGAGAACTTGTCACCTTGGTTTGGTTGTTGATGGTACATCTTGGCTTGAGCGAACAGTTCCAAATACGCTTCGCATGATGCAAAGTTGGTGAGTCGGCAAAAGATGATGCTCCTATGTGCGAAGTTCATGAAGAATCTCATGGTAGGAATCTCACTTTGTTTACGCCTTTGTTTCGTTTCTTCATGTAATGGAAGTGCTTATTGTTTGAATAAAAAAAATGTTTGTTGGAGCACGTTGCTTTGTTGATGTTCTTCAAAAAAAGCCTTGATTCATGGTACGCGCCTGAAGGAGAATGAAGACAAAAGGCTGCAAGCATTAGCGAAAGGGTTTTCTGAACCGGACGGAACCTCCGCAATAGGTGCGTCCAACACAGAGTTGGGAATTGCATCGAGTGTCTCCTCAAAGAAAGACTTGATCGTCTACAAGGTCCAAAAACCGCATTAAAGTTAATCGAATGGTCAGGCTGAAAGACACAAAAGCTTAATATAATCGAAACGAATAGCCTAATGTGCAAATGCACAGTGCAATGCTGGAAAGCTGCATCAGCTTTCCGCTTCCACAAACCCTTTCCAGGCTCTGAATGGAAAAGACCAAGGAAAGGCTGCAACATGTTAAAAATAAAATTATCGAAAAAAGCTTCATCTTTGGCCAAACAAGAAACAGATGATCTATCACACCCGGCAACATTCCAACGGCAGAGAAGCAAGAAATCTGCTTTCAAATGCTAATTATGGCTTTGCAGCCGTAAATACTATATGGGAGATTTTAAAGATATCCATTGCAGATCCTCTCGGTGCTGGACTGCTCTCCACCAATGTCAAGCTCAGATAAGTGACCTTTACAATGCCCATAGCTGAAATATCAGCTATAAATGGCCTAGACTAATAGATCTTAAATTTTTCCAACAGTTGCATAGTCAAGCAAAGGCTACTAAAATCCTCCCCTAGAACACTACAAAAGAAGAAATAATCTAGTCAAACCATTTCCTCCATCCATACCTTCGCCACATCACGCACAGTTGGTTTCTTTCCATACATTCCAAGAACAGCATCTCCATAAACTTCATACTCTTTAAGGACCAGAGAATTGGATAATTGTGAGGAGGGGAATACTCGAAGCAAACAGGAGGCAGTGACTACGCAGATAATAATTATCCAGCCACATGTACAACTATACCTGACGGCACATGACACCACTGCTTGGAACACCATAAACAGCGCTATCTACATAAGTCAAAGTCTGTCGTGGGCCGTTAAAATTTACAATCATTTTCAAATCACTAATCAAATTTTGCAACCATAAAGCGAGCACCGCTCGGCTTAGCTAAAAGATCTAATCAAGTATGATCTATATCGTTGCATTTTATACCATGAAACAAATTAATAATACCTTTCTTCAATGCCATAAACATTCCCTTGGATTATGACACAAACTCAAAACAAAATGGCAATTTCCGCAGCCTAAGTATCACCAAATCAAGATCTCAATCTATCTAGGAGCTACTCAAGGTTTGTAACGATCCGGTCCTGCAAGAGCGGGGAGTGGTCGCCGGGGCCAGAGTGCCTGGATAAGGAGCAGCTCCTGGCAGGCTTTGAGGATGATCCCACATTGCCTGAGTGTGGTGAGGTGAAGTGCCATATGTGTGATAGCACTTGTCCTAACTTGTAACAAGGCCTTTTCTAGGCGACGCCTAGAAGAACAAAACCGTGCGGGCTCCGGCCCAAAGCAAACAATATCATTACGAGTGGGTCCTGGGCATCACAGTGGTATCAAAGCCAAGCCCAGCCAAAAGTGTGTGGTTCGGGAACAAACCAAGCGGAAATTGGTAGGTCTATAACAACTCGATCTTGTGAGGGCGAGGAGTGGTCGCCGGGCCAGAGGGCCTGAACAAGGAGTGGCAGCAGGCTTCGAGGATGGCGAAGGGGATAGGAATGAACCGAATCCCACATCGCTTGGGTTTGGTGTGGTGAAGTGCCATATATGTGGTGGCACTTGTCCTAACTTGTAACAAAGCCTTTTCTAGCAAAGCCCAGAAAAACAAAACCATGTGGGCTCCAGTCCAAAGCGGACAATATTGTTTCGAGTGGGTCCTAGGCATCACAGTGGTATCAGAGCCAAGCTCAGCCGGAAGTGTGTGGTTCAGGGACGAACCAAGCGAAAGCTAGTGGGCCTATAACAACCCGATCTTGTGAGGGCGGGGAGTAGTTGCCAGGGCCAGAGGGTTTGGATAAAGAGCGGCTCTTAACAGGCTTCGAGGATGGCGAAGGGGACAGGAATGAACCGAATCCCACGTCGCCTGGGTGTGGTGAGGTGAAGTGGCATATATGTGAAGGCACTTGTCCTAACTTATAACGAGGCCTTTCACCTAGAAGAACAAAAACATGCGGGCTCCGGCCCAAAGCGGACAATATAGTTATGAGTGGACCTTGAGTGTCACAGTGGTATTAGAGCCAAGCCCAATCGAAAGTGTATGGTTCGGGAGTGAACCGCGTGGAAGCTGGTGAGCTTGTAACGACCCGGTCTTGCAAGTGTGGGGAGTGGTCGCCAGGACCTGAGGGCCTAGACAAGGAGCGGCTTCTGGCAGGCTTCGAGTATGGCGAAGGGGACAAAAATGAATTGAATCCCACATCACCTAGGTGTGGTGAAGTGAAGTGCTATATATGTGGTGGCACTTGTCCTAACTTGTAATGAGACCTTTTCTGGGCGAAGCCCAAAAGAAAAAACCGTGCAAGCTCCGGCCCAAAGCGGACAATATCGTTACAAGTGGGCCCTAGACGTCACAAGGTTAGCTTGATTAGTTCGATTTCGATCAAGTTTGAACTACTAGATAATTAAGTTGAGTCAGCTTGAGTTCAATTTTTGAACTCAAGTAGCTCCCGAGCCTAATCTCGTAATTAAACTTTTAATTAGTTTTCGTTGCAAGACATTTAAACAAAACAAATTATCAATTATATTGTAGTTATAATACATAGAGTTTGAGCTCAAGCTCGTAGTTGGGCTTAATTGAGCCGAGTTTCATATTTCATAAGATAATTGATGGAGTCTCGATTATTCAGTACGAGTTGAGTTAAATTAGTAGTCTGTGTCAACTCAACTTCAGCTACATTATGCCTTAGATACCGACATGAATGAAAAAATGATTACAAATCAAATTTTCCATTGAGAATGTGAAAAACATAAACCGATTTCCACATTCATAACAGATTGCTTAAAAGTTGCATTATATACTTAACCCGCACTTCTCACTTTGATATGCTTGCAGTCAAGCAGAATACATCCTGGATAAACAAGACAAGTAAATCGCTTTGCCTCCTCTTATTGATCAAGGACATGGATCACCATGATATATAGTGGATCACCATGTCCGCTTCTAGGCTCAATAATTCAATCTAAAATTAATGTTGAAATATGTCTCGAGTTTTGAGTTCATAAATAAATCTGATCTATAAGCGCACCCGGAAAACCGACTGAAATTTTTATATAATCGGATGTGGCATAAATTTGCAAAGTTTATATTGGTCTTGGATCGGTATCACTTGGATCGTTTTCTTGAAGATTGACTTTTGGTCAGACAAACAAGAAAAGGAAAGATTGGGTCAGAGAAAGAATAAGAAATAAAAGAATCAGAAATATTCTTTCCTGATTTCCTGATTCGTGTGGGAGTCGTTCAAGAAACGGAAAGTCCAACGTGTGGACTTGAAGACCGGTCTAGTGGGTTTTCTTAAGGATCAATGTTGACCGCAAGTTGGACTCTAAGTTGACTGTGGACCCCACGTATAGATACATAATTTAGGGGTGTCAATGGGCCGGATTTTCATGATACTCGACCCGACCCGAAATAATGGACATGTGTGCTCGGCTCGACCCGAAACAAGACTCGAATATGATATAGCCAAGTGATCGGGACTGGTCGGTTCGGGTTGGGTCGGGCTGGGTTCCGTGTTTCAAACTCATCCAAACGATTTTGTTCTTGCTTTCTCGTCACCTCAAAAACCTGCCAAATTCATTCCACGCCCAAAAATGAATTTCTGATTTCCACGCTCTCGACCCGCGCGTATGCCGACACTCCCTTCTGCTTCCTGAGTTTCTATCCTTCCGCGCCGCCCCCGTCTCCTCCGTTGCAGCACGCCGAAGATGCCCCTTCCGGCGCGGCCTCGCCGGTGAAGCCTGAGCCTCCCGAGGAGGCGCGAGGTGCGGGGTCAATTCTAAACAGAAAAGCTATCTAGTGATCAATTCTAAACAGAAACAGAAACAATCAGAAACAAAGCTACAGAAATCAATTCTAAACAGAAACAGAGCACGCTAACTAGTGATCACAGTCCTATTAAACAATCAGAAGCAAATAGCAAAATCATTTGAAGGCACAAAGAAACTAGCAGCAAAACCGACATTTCAGTCCGCAAAGATGTCGCGGTCAGCAAACGAAGCACGGAACGAGCCCACGAGAACGCCCAACCTGGTGGAAGCAATCGGACCCGGCGAGGGCCAGGTCGCCGAAGAGCCCGGCAGAGACGACGGCAGGGAGGTCCAGGACGTCGTCCCTGATGGCAACCCCCGACCACGCCGGCGAGCCGCTGTCTGGCCGAAAGACCCCGAACGGCAGGTTCTGGATCGAGAAGTGGGAGCCGGGGCCGACATCGATGAAGGACTTGAGGGCCATTGAAGCGCTGTCTCCGGAGCTCCGACGGAAGAAGGTGCGGTGTTATGTGGCGGAGAGGCTTGGAGGGAGAGAGCAAAGGAAGGCGAAGTGATATAGCAAAAGAGATAGCAGAAGAGGCAAGAGAGCGAGAGAGACGTGGAAGAGAGATCTAGGGTTTCCTTGTTTGGGTTTTTCTTGTTTGGGTTGGGCTTGGGTACCCGAACCCAATAAATTCAAAACAAGACCCAATTATTTTTCTTGTTACCCAAACAAATTAAGACCCAACCCGACCCAATACGAAAATTTCCTGTTTGGATCTGGTCGGGTCAGGTCAGGTCGTGTTTGGGCAGGTTCTTTTGACACCCCTAATACATATGGATCGTGAGATTCCTGTGATTATAGTCTTGAAGCACGGCTTGTGTGCGAGTGCTTGGTGTACAAAGATGCGCAGAGGGAACTCGTGAATTACATTCATGAAGTCAGTGTTCGAGCCATAAAATCTTGCATTAGAGTTTGTGTGTAATTCTTTCGTGAGATTGATAGATTATTTCATAAGAAATTATGAGAACAAATACCATATGAGTTATTGGGTGCAATTGAGGCTTAGAAAATACTGAGAGTATATGAATGACTCAAATGTAATTGTAATCTTCATTGTATCGCTTAATCTATAGCGAAATTCCGTGCTGCTCTCCTCGTGGACGTATGTCACTACGATCGAATCACGTAAATCTGGTGTCCGACTTATTTTCTTGTTCTGTCATTTTACTGTTAGATCGCTTGCCTCTACAACGATTAACTTGACTAAAGTATGATTTTACCTCATGGATAGAGTTTATGCCTCCATTTATTGTAAACTTCTGGAAAGTCACGCAATAGACCGAAAAAAAAGTATTCATATCTGCATATGAGAAACTGAAATGATAAGCTGAACAATACTGTACTGTTTCCCAAGCACAATAATTAAACTCTTTAAGAAAAAACTCGGAACAAAAATAACAAACAACATTAAAAAAGAAAAGAAAAGAAAGCAACAGAAAACAAAGAATTCTCGTTGGTGAGAAAGAAGAAACTTTGTAAATAAAGTCACCTTTAGAGTAATCAAGCACCATAAAGTTAAGACATAAGCATTGCAATTGTTCACACTCGTATTGGATAAAGCTATAGCCCCTGCCTAGCAACGCAAGTGCTTCAAAGTGGAGCTCCCTCTACCTTTTAACTCTAATCTTATAAGAAAGGCTCGATGCAAAGCAGTCGTACTCCAAATTGAACATCGAATTTCCTCTAAGTGACCTATACAACGCCCATTGCTGAAACATCAGCTGTAAATGGCCTAGACTAATGGACCTCAGATTTTTCCAACGGTGTTTTTGGAGGCCTCCAATTCCAGGCTCAGCATCACGCGTAAACAATGTTCATCGTGATTTTTCAAATTTCTTTTGTT